AGTGGAGACAAGACCAATCACCCTGCACAAGGAGAGAGAGCAGCGGGTTTTAAGCAAGGAAGCTCCTGTGGAAAGGCAAAGTTTCAAGTAGGATTACTGCCCAGATCTGGAAGAAATACACAAAACACACCAACATTCAAGAAAGAATATACATGATTTTTGTCATTTGTATTTAGACAATATTTGCATATCCTCAAGTTCAGCTTTACGAAGTTCACAAGAACAATAAAAAGATTCCTATATACTATGTCTTGTATATATTATCCATATGCAGACAGGTACAAGAAGCTAACCCTTACCAACAAAAAAAACACTTGGTTCCTTCTTCAGTACCCAGGAGAAACTATTAAACCCAGACAGACAGTAGATCTTTTGAATGCAGTGTTCTTCATCAGGAGTAGAAACACAGCCTTGGAATTCATAGATGGTGCCTCCATGCACAGAGTACTGAAATATAAAACCGGGACAGACTAGCACACTGGTGCCCATACCTAACAAAAATCACTAAATAAAGTAATGACCAATATGCCCTGCTCCCAGAAACTTATAACAACTTTCTACCTGATCTGCAGATTTAGTGGTTATCATTGCGTAATGCTTATCAATTTAGGGAAGGTCTGGTGGAAATAGAAGGATTTAAGCTGCCTACAGTTTACAATGTCAGAACAGAAAGCTAGAGTTTGAGAGCCCTGTTCTTCAGCTGTACCCACAATTTACCAGTCTGGGGATGTTCCGGTGCTACTGTTTTTATCATTTGACTTTCACTGCATTCAGCTGCCTTGCCCATCTTCAGTAGGCCTTCAGTAGGCACAGCCTTATTTTACATAAAGCATGGTAGGCGAATGCACCACTATCATTGGGGAGCTGGGAGCATCAAGTTTTACCACTACTAAGTCCTGCCCACTCAATCATAACCCCCCCCCAAAAAAAAAAACATAAGCTACTAAGGGCTGGCAATTTTTCCTAGCTGCCCATCAATCAAATGTTCTCTTCCAACAGGAGCAGGGGTGTTCCTAGGGTTGGTGTCACCTGGTGCGATAACAGTCGGGGGGGGACGGGGAGGGGGGGGGGGGGGAGGTGGGGTGACACCCCCTCCAACGATCTCCGCAGAGTGGATCGGATCTGCGGATTGAGCATAATAGATCAGAGTCTGATCCATTATGCTCCCCAATTCGCAGTGACATCCGGGGTGACATCGGACCCGCGCCACGAAAAGGTAAGTTGTAAAGAAAGGCGACGATCCCTGCAGGATGGATGCGATCCATCCTTCGGGGATCGTCGACTTGCTTTACAACTTACCTTTTCGTGGAGCGGGTCCGGTGTCACCCCATGCGGTAGGTGTCACCCGATGTGGCGCGCACCCCCCGCACGTGCCTCGGAACACTACTGAACAGGAGTCACTAGCTCACATTCCATCTACCTTTATTTCTGCAACAGCAGTGAGTTGGCCTGTCAGCTTGTTACCCTGTCAATTGCCAATCCATTTGCCATTGGATGACAGGCAGGCTGTGCTCCAAGCACAGCCAGAAAACCACTCTGGGAAGGGTTTGCTTCTATGTCTAGCATGGTCAGTTTGAAATAAGGAAGCAGAGGGACTAGTAGGAACAACAAGTATTTCACACAAAGGATGAAATACAAAGAGAACAGGATACTTTTTAACACAAGTACATGGTACAACAGACACATATCAAGAATATGAAATGTTGGGGTAACATATTCACAGGGCCGCACTGTGGCGAGATCTGTCACTGGCAGTGTACCTCGGACACGTCCGATAACAGATCTTTGTGCCGGCCCTGTTGCCAGTACCATGTGACCTGCTGTGACCAATCACAGCAGGTCACAAGACAGTTGTATACAATGGATGGCTTCCTTTCATGCCATCCATTGTATACAAGTGGCCTAGCTGTGAATGGTCACAGCGATCACATGCACAGGCTGTGCCAATCACAGGCCATCTGTGTCATGTGATTAGCCGTGGCCAATCACAGCTAATCACAACAAAAAAAGCTGAATGAATCGATTTCATTCAGTTAAATGCTTGCTAATAGCAAAGAAATTATTTGCTATAAGCAATCAAATTGTTTAAAATAAAAAATAGTGATCACTTCCCCAAAGTAGTACAATGTTACTATGGTAACATTATACTACTTTGGTCATAGTGCAATATGAAAAAAAAATCTTGAAAAAAGAGAAAAAATGTAATAACAATTAAAAAAAAAAAAAAAAAAAATTATAAAAAATTATAATTTTTTTTTTTCATACTGTGACCAGTCAGTGTCTCTGATCACTGCCACATCAGTTTTGTGATGACGCTGTACTGCACTGGTGACAGTATGTAGTAAAAAAATTGTGAAAATAATTTTTTTAATTTCTTCATTTTCCAAAAAATTAAGACAAAAAAATTACAACTTCAAAAAACTTGCCATGCCTCTTATGAAATATGTCGGACTGTCTACTTTGCAAAAGGGGTCATTTGGGGGATATCTGTACTGTTCTGACATTTTTGGGCCTCAAGAAATTAGATTGGCTGTCAGTACTTCAGGATTGATCAATTTTCATATATATCCCATAGTTTGTGAACTCTATAACTTTCCTACAGAATAAATAATAAATACTAATTTGGGTTATTTTCACCAAAGACATGTAGTAGAATACATTTTGGCCTAAATTTATGAAGAACTATTATTTATTTGCAAACTTTTATAACAGAAACAAAGAAAAACATGTTTTTTTTTTCTAAATTTTCAGTCTTTTTTTGTTAATTTATCAAAAAATAAAAACCCCAGTGAATTTTAAATACCACCAAAAGAAAGCTCTAGTTGTGTGAACAAAATGATAACATTTTAGTTTGGGTACAGTGTTGCATGACCGCGCAATTGTCATTCAAAGTGTGAGAGCGGTGAAACCTGAAAATTGGCCTGGGCAGGAAGGGGGTAAAAGTACCCGGTATTGAACTGGTTAATGGTATTGCAAAATAATGCATTGCAGCAGCTCTCTAATGGACCTTAATTTATGACCACCATCCAAATAGACAAACCATGGGCCAAATCCTTTGCATGACATCACCCAGCGAGAGGGCAAGGCTTGGCAGAGTATAAGGAATTCCCCTTACTTTCACAATTATCTTAAAATACTATGTAAGTTGTGCAGCATCCAGCTTGCCATGTATTTTTCCAAAATACAAAGTGAGCGGTATATAGTGTACAATAATCAATAGCAACATGTCAGATATTAGCTTTACTTTAGCTATTCAGACTTGCTCTCACTTGTGTCTGTAGTCTACTTCACAATTGATTTTTTGTGGTATGTATTTAAAAGGAAAATATAGCATGTTTTAAATTATTTTTCTTTATACTTGATGCTTTTTTAAATTACTGTTTTATATCTTTTTTTACTAGTTATAAACTGTTTTTTTTTTTTAAATCCACATTTAATACAGGAGCACCCTTGACAGTGATGTTACAAATCATAATAGGTTTTTTAGAATGTTTGGCTTTTGCTTCTCTAATTTATTTATCTGTGTACATTTTAACTTGAGCTACTGAATTCTTTAAACATGTTTCTTTTAAATAAAGCTCACTGAAACCGATCTAGTCTGGAACAAAGAGTGACCCTTGGTTAACAGGTATTGGCTTCAGCCTGCCATTGTTTCTGTTTTAAGTCCTAAGGCAAAAGACTCACAGATGCTCAATAAACCATTTGTTTTATTACTACATTAGGGTCAATTGATCAAGGCTGGGTATTGCATGCTGCTGAAATTAGAATATAACAATAATTTAACAACTTGGTTTTCTGCATTTAAAAAAAACGTTTATTTACCAGGGTTTTTTATCATACACTTACATTAGCAAGTAACCACATTTGTTAAAATTATCTCTGTCCATTGTATTTTCACTTTTTTGTTAAGTTTTCTATTTGCCTGCAATGCATTTTTAAGACCTGGAAACTGAATTAAGAGATTTTAATTTGCAGTTTAATGCATGTCATTTTACCTGTGTATGTGCTGGAAGTAGATAGATTTAGTTCTGGTTCACTGTGTCCAGTAGAACTGCATTTTGTTTTTAGGTAAATTTAGTTTGTCTCATTGTACTCAGTGTGGCTGCAATTCTGGGTTGGGCAAATTTAGTTCTAGCTCACTGTGGTCAGTGCAGCTGCATGCGATTTTTTGGGTTTACTCTGTCTCTCACAGGCTACAGATTTCATTGCTCTCACTCTGTATCTCCAGAGCCACTTGAAATAGTTCTGGAACATAGGTGTGGAGTACTTTAAATAGGCAGCATGAATATTTATACAGTCCAACCCAATCATTGTGGGCCCTGCACAGGTGGCTGCTGGGAAATGGGTATAAATGCACTGCTCAAAAAAATTAAAGGAACAATTTTTAATCAGAGTATAGCATCAAGTCAGTTAAACTCCCGGGATATTGATCTGGTCAGTTAAGTAACCTCTCTTGCCGACCGCTCGTGCATTAGCCGAATGACGGCTTCACCGCCGCGGCCGGCCAGTTCTGAGTGGACGTCATATGACGTCCTCCCAGAAACGCTGTGTCCTCCCAGCATAGTCGCGCCCCCAGCATGTGGGGCGCACATCACCGGCGATCTCCGTGATCGCTGTGTCCTACGGACACAGCTGATCACGGTGATGTGGTGAAAGGCCGATCCCACCGGCCTACACCACGTGATCAGCGGTGTCCAATGACACGCTGATCACAGGGAAACTTGCAAGTGCCGGTTCTCGGCTGCACTTTCCCTCACGCTGTCAGATCGTGAGGAATTGAGTACTGAATTGAACCGGCAGTTGTCAGAGCGGGGATCGGCACCGATCATCAGGGCACTGATGAACATCAGAAGCCCTGATGATCGGTGCCCAGCAGTGACACCCGCAAGTTCCGCCCAGCAGTGCGCACACTAGCCCCGCCCACAATAGCAGCCAGCAGTGCCACCCTGCCAGCCCCCACCTTGCCCAGCAGTGCCCCCACCTGTGGCCCAGCAGTGCCCCCACCTGATGCCACTCTGCAGTGCCACCTACCTGTGCCCAGAAGTGCCACCTACATGTGCCCAGCAGTGCCACCCACCTGTGCCCACCCACCTGTGCCCACCAGTGCCACCCACCTGTGCCCACCAGTGCCACCCACCTGTGCCCACCCACCAGTTCTGCCCACCAGTGCCACCCACCAGTGCAGCCCAGCAGTGCTGCAGTCAGTGCCACCAGTCAGTGCCCAGGGGTTGTGCCAGCCAGTGCCCCAGTCAGTGCCCAGAAGTGATGCCAGTCAGTGCCATATCAGTACAGTACAGTCATCAGTCATTCCCATTTGTCACCATTCAGTGCCGCATATTCAGTGCCGCCTATCCGGGACCCCTATTTAGTGCTGTCTATCAGTGCCGCCTATCCGTGCCACCTCATTAGTACTGCCTATCAGTGCCCTTTAGTGTTGCCTATCAGTGCCCATCAGTGCCGCCTATCAGTGCCCATCAGTGCCGCCTCATCAATGCAAATCAGTGAAGGAGAAAAAATACCTGTTTGAAAAATTTTATAAAAGAAACAAATAAACTTTTTTTTTTTTTTTCAAATTTTTTTTGCACTTTTTTTAATTTTATAGCGCAAAAAGTAAAGCACCCAGTGGCGATTAAATACCACCAAAAGAAAGCTCTATTTGTGAGAAAAAAATTATCAAAATTTCATATGGGTACAATGTTGCATGACCGCGCAATTGTCAATCAAAGTGCGGCAGCGCTGAAAGCTGAAAATTGGCCTGGTAAGGAAGGGGGTATAAGTGCCTGGTAGGCAAGTGGTTAAGTAGCAGAGGGGGTTGTTAATTAGTTTCAGCTGCTTTGGTGTTAATAAAATTAAAACCAGGTTACACTAGATGGACCCTACAGAGGTTGCACAGGCAGTCCAACTCCTCCAGGATGGCACATCAATACAAACCATTGCCAGAAGGTTTACTGTGTCTCCCAGCATAGTCACAAGAGCATGGAGGAGATTCTGGGAGACAGGCAGTTACTCTAGGAGAGCTGGACAGAGCCATAGAAGGTCCTTGATCCATCAGCAGGACGGTATCTGCTCTTTTTTGCAAGGAGGAACAGAATAAGCAGTGCCTGAGCCCTACAAAATGACCTCCAGCAGGCCACTGGTGTTAATGCCTCTGACCAAACAATCAGAAACAGACTTCATGAGGGTGGCCTGAGGGCCTGACGTCCTTTAGTGGGCCCTGTGCTCACAGCCCGGCACCATAGAGCTCAATTGCCATTTGCAATTGAACACCAGAATTGACAGGTCATTCCACTGGTGGCCTGTGCTTTTCACAGAAGAGAGCAGGTTCACCCTGAGCACATGTGACAGACATGAAAGGGTCTGGAGAAGCCATGGAGAACAATATGTTGCCTGTAACATCGTTCAGCATGACCGTTTTGGTGGTGTGTCATTGATGGTCTGGGGAGGCATATCTGAGGAGGGACGCACAGACCTCTACAGGCTACACAATAGCACCCTGACTGCCATTAGGTTTCTGGATGAAATCCTTGGACCCATTGTCAAACCCTACAGTGGTGCAGTGGGTCCTGGGTTCTTCCTGATGCACAACAATGCTTGGCTTCATGTGGCAAGAGTATGCAGGCAGTTCCTGGAGGATAAAGGAATTGATACAATTTAAAGGCCCCCATGCTCGCCTGACCTAAATCCAGTAGAACACCTCTGGGACATCATGTTTTGACCCATCCAGGTTGCACCTCAGACTGTCCAGGAGCTCAGTGATGCCCTAGTCCAGATCTGGGAGGAAATACCCCAGGACACCATTCATTGTCTCATTACGAACATGCCCCGACGTTGTCAGGCATGTATACAAGCACGTGGGGGCCATTTTGTGTTGCTGCAATGAAATTTCAGCAAAATGGACTAGCCTGCTGCATCATTTTTTCACTTTGATTTTCAGAGTGTCTTTGAATTCAGTCCTCTGTAGGTTGATAATTTTCATTTCCATCAAATGATGGGGCATCCTTACGTTCCTAACACATTACCCAGTCCATATCAGTACATACAGTATATCCGGTATGATATTTTTCCCCATTGAGATCTGATATATTTTCAAAGTGTTCCTTTAATTTTTTTGAGCAGTGTAGTTGGGGATCTCAAGTTTCCTTGTCTTGTCCTGAAGAGGAGGAGTCCAGCCTAGAGGGCTTGCTGCACTTTGGGTAGTCCTGCCATGTGCTTGTTGTTCATAAGGCCTCAGCTGGGCTAGATCTAAACCTGGAAGTTGACTGAGGGCCTGTCTCTTGTTGGATCTGGTCTGGGATTACTGGTAGAGGTGCCTGGAGGACATTGGAAGGAAGCATCCATTCACCGTCCATGCATACTTGAGAGTCAGCTGAGAGTGCAGGAAAAGAGGATACTGGCTGGTATCCTGAAGAGCTTAATCCAGCTTGTTCTGTGTTAAAGGGACTCTACTCAACTTGCCTAAAGAAAGAAGTTTGTGCCTATTTCTGCTTCAACTAAGCTAAGTCTATTACTGGCCCCTACAAGGACTGTGCATAAAGTGCTGCAGATGAAAGTTATAGTGTACATAGTTCTTTTTCGAGAATCCCACTCCCTATCCAAGTTATTCCTAAAAATAAAAACCACCAAAAAGAATTTCCCTGGACTGTTTACCGAGTCAAAAAGTGACTGTGTTCATGTGCTGACCTCGACGGGGGTACCTCTACACATGAGTACCCCTTTCCGTCTCTCTGACCAAAACCTCATTACGTTCTCCATCTCCCCGTCCTCTAACACCTCCCCCCCAAACATCAAAACATCACCAGCCGTAACCTCCGCAACCTGAACCCAGCCCCTCTCCACTCTGCAGCTGACCATCTGTACGACAGTATCCTTTAACTGTCATGCCCTGACCTGGCCACTGCTGCATATAACAACTCACTATCAGCTGCCTTAGACTCCTTAGCACCCCTAACCACACGTAGCATTAGACCCTGGCAGAATGACCACACTAAAAATCTTAAACGACGCAGTCGCGCGCTGGAGCGACTATGGCGCAAAACCAGATCCCCTCGAGCGCTCTCCCTCTACAAATCCGCCTTCCTTACCTACACCTCCTCCCTCCACGCCGCCAAACAAGCCTACTTCGTAACCCTCATCAACACCCTCTCCTCCAGTCCTCGCTGGCTCTTCTCCACTTTCAACTCCCTACCGTCTCCCGCCCTCCCCCACCCAGTACCTCACTCACCTCCCACGAGATTGCCAATCACTTCCAAAATAAGATCGACGCAATCCGTATAGACATCGCCAATGCTCAACCTACCTCCCCACCTAGCCTAGCTCCCACCATAACCCCACCAACTCTCTCCTCCTCTGACCTCGCAACTGCCCTGCCCCCCACCACATCTAACATCCCGCACACTATTACCTCCCCAACACTCCACTCCTTCAGCCTTGCCACCACTGAGGAGGTCACCAAGGTCTTCTCAGTAGCCCGCCTCACCACTTGCCCCCTTGACCTTGTCCCCACACAACTCCTCCGGGCACTCTCCTCCTCCATCCTATGCTCCCTCACACACATCTTCAATCTCTCCCTCTCTACTGGCGCATTCCCCTCCCCCCTAAAGCACATGCACATCACCCCCTTACTCAAAAAACCCTCCCTGGACCCCACCGACCTGAACAACCTTATACCCATTTCCCTGCTGCCATTTACTTCCAAGCTCCTTGAGCGCTTAGTCTACAATCGCCTAAGCACCCACCTCACTGACAACAACCTCCTCAATCTACTACAGCCTGGTTTCCATCCCCTACACTCCGCTAACCGCCAAAGCTAATGGCCACTACTCCTTGACCTTTCCACGGCCTTCGACACAGTTGGCCACCCCCTCCTCCTTAATAAACTACACTCCCTCGGCATCAGAGACTCCACTCTCTCCTGGCTCTCCTCCTACCTATCCCAATGCTCCTTCAGCATTACCTATAACGCTACCACCTCCCCCTCTCTCCCCCTCTCTGTTGGGGTCCCTTAAGACTCTGTCCTCAGGCCCCTTCTCTTCTCCATCTACACCTCCTCCCTCGGCAAACTGATACACTCCCACGGCTTCAACTATCACCTCTACGCCGATGACATGCAAATTTACCTCTCCACCCCTCACCTCACCCCTTCAGTCTCTGCCCGTATCACCCACCTGCTGAATGACATATCAGACTGCATGTCGAACCATTTCCTCAAACTGAACCTTTCCAAAACCGAGCTCCTAATCTTCCCCCCAGCCAGCCCCCCCCCACCCTCTCCATCATGACCAACAACGCCACCATCAGTCCCACCCCGCAAGCCAAAGTCCTAGGTGTCACTCTAGACTCCAACCTGTCCTTCCAACCCCATGTCCAATCGTTGGCAAACGCATGCAGACTCCACCTCCACAACATCTTCAAAATACGTACGTTCCTAACCCTAGACACTACTAAACAACTCGTTCACTCCCTCATTATTTCACGTTTGGACTACTGCAACTCCCTTCTCACCGGCCTACCTCATCACAGACTATCCCCGCTTCAGTCTATCCTGAACTCAGCGGCCAGACTCATCCACCTTACCAACCGATCCTCTTCTGCCACCCCCCTCTGTCATTCCCTCCACTGGCTCCCGACTGCCCAATGCATTAAATTAAAACTACTAACACTGACATACAAAGCCATTCACAACGCTGCCCCAAACTACCTCACCGACCTGATACCCAAATACCACCCAACCCCTAATCTTTACTCCTCACAAGACCTCCTACTTTCTAGCTTCCTGGTCTCCACCTCCCACGCCCGACTGCAGGACTTCTCCAGGACTTCCCCCATCCTCTGGAACTCACTACCCCAATCCATCAGACTGTCACCTACCCTCCTCACCTTTCGGTGCACCCTGAAAACCCATCTCTTCAGGGAAGCCTACCCCGCCCTCACCTAACAGCCGATCTCCTCCACTCCTCCTACCACTCCATCCCCCACAGCCACTTCCTCCTGTACCACTTTCCCCTCCCTCCTAGATTGTAAGCGCAAAAGTGCAGGGCCCTCGAACCCCTCTTGTGTATTGTTTTGTTACTGTACTGTCTCATGTTCTGTCCCCCACTATAATGTACAGCGCTGAGCAAACCTTTCTGGCGCTATATAAATACTGTATAATAATAATAATACTAGATGACAGCTTCATGAAGTTAAAGTGTCACTAAAGTGTCACTAAACCCACATCATAAAAAAATATCAATGAATGCCATATTACATGCTGTCCATACTCAGTCAGTCACTATGGGATTGGTTTTCTGTATTCTGCAAAAAATCTGGTTGATCTGCTGTTCTCTATCTCCCCCTTCTGTCCATGTCCCCAATGCAGCTAGGGATTTTGCAGA